TTTTTTTTTTTTTTTTTTTTTTTTTTTTTTTTTTTTTTTTTTTTTTTTTTTTTTTTTTTTTTTTTTTGTTATAATAATATCATCAAGTCTAATAATTTTCAATGTAACTTTTTATCCTTCAAATAATTAAATAAAATATCATATCATAAAATTATGGATGTGAATTCCCCAAATTTGCATTCAATATCATTTTAGGGTGATTTTTGCATATTTTCCTTTTAACCATAATAATTATTTTATTTTTATGTTAAAATATCATTTTTGGTCTATGTAATTTGAGCTTTATTATCTTTTAATTATAATATGACTAATTTTTTTTAAATTAAAATTATTGAAAGTATAAAAATTAAAATTGGAAAATTATTAGAAGTATAAAAATTAAAATTGGACTAACTTAAAGTAAAACGACTAAAATTAGGAATGAATTTTGGTAGGGGAGACGAAAATATAGTCTTTATTTCATTTTCTATCTTTCTAAAATCTTTTTTTATTTAATTTTTTAATTAAAAAATCGATTATATTTGAATTTTTTAATAATTAGTTTTTCGATAACAAAAATTATTTAAATGGTTATTTTCACGGTGAGTACAAAATTTTCTTAAAACTTTATAATATAAACAAAATAACTTAAATATCGCCGCCTAGAAAACCATAGTTGGTCGACATGTCGAATCACTATGTGAAGTGCAAAAGAAGTGTCGTTTATATTTACAACACGAGAGCCTCGAGGAGAGAGTAAACAAAGGTTAAACCTTCTTCAAGGCCCCGAAGCTTGTGCCTCTACCATCACAGTCATCTATGGCGTTAACCTCTCGTTCTGCGATCCGCTCTGCGACCAATCTCTCTAATAACCTTCTACGCTCCTTCTCCACTTCCATCAAGTCCGCTCACCATAACAATCACCAGCAGACGCACAAATACTTGGAGGCGAGCGCCTTTGTTGGCAGCTGGGAGGCGCCGAAAGACCCTAAGGAAGCGCAGGCCAAACTCGCTCTGCTCCGAAGGGACTACGCCAAGCAGGTGAAGCAGGTGCGCAAGAATTACATCCAAGAGGTCGAACTCTTGAGGCTCGAAAAGCAGAGCAAGGATGAAGCCAAGAGAGAGGCGCTTAGGGTTGCCAATGAGGAACGCAAGAAGCTTAAAGCCGAAGCTGCGAAAGCCCGAGCCGAAGAGCGTAAGGTTGCTGATGAAGAGTTCCGACGGACTTTGGTAAGTGGTTTCCTTATCTTCTTGAACATTTACATCGTGAGATATTATTGTTTGAAGATCTTAATTGGAAAGAATTTGATTGGAAATGCATCCATTGCATCTTCTAATCAATTGGATTCAAAGAGCAATCTATTCATTTTTCTTTTAATGATCGAGAGAAGTGTAATCTCTTGTCTCATGCTCAGTCGAACAGTTTCCTGGCTTGAATTCGTATATTTACTCTTATAGTGTAAGATTCACGTTAGTTGGAGAGGGGAATGAAGCACCCTTTACTCTACAAGGGTGTAGAGACCTCCCCTAAAAATGCGTTTTACAAATGGGGACCTCTCCTTAGCAAACGCGTTTTAAAAACGTGAGGCTGAGGGAGATCTGCTAGTGGTGGGTTTTGGCTGTTACAAATGGTATCAGAGTCAGTCACTAAGTGGTGTGCCAGCAAAGACGTTGGCACCCGAGGGGGTGGATTGTGAGATTGTGAGATCTCACATCAGTTGGAGAGGGGAACGAAACCTCTCCTAGTAGACGTGTTTTAAAACCGTGAGTTTGACGACGATACGTAATGGGCCGAAGCGGAAAATATCTACTAGAAGTGGACTTGGGTTGTTACATATACGCAAGATGTTAATATTGCTGTTATCGCTTTCATGTCTTAAATCTGCTAAATGTAAATGGTGCTGCTTGTTTTCTGGTCTCATTTTTGCTGACATAATCGATGCGATTTTGATAATTTGACTTGCTGATTGAGTAACTGTGTGGAGCTTTTGAACTAAAATTGAGCCTCCAAGGGTCACAACAAATTGAGTCCTTGTGGAGCTTTTGAACCAAAAGTTCTAAAATTGAGCCTCCATCAGAGTTCAGACTCTACAGGACGTGAAGATTTTGTTTTGCAAAGTCTTTGAGTCCTTGTGGCAACAATTTAAGAAGGAAGGCATAATGGGACAGTGGCTTTTGTGCTGTTGGTTTAAGGACTTTTGGATTTTTTTTCCCCCTTTTTCTTGAGTAGACACAGGGAAGCTTTTCATTAGAAATCACTTCTTAAAAAGTTTATGATGTTGGAAGGTATGATTTTAAGGAATTCGTCTGTGAGATCCATCTTAACTGTTCTTTTTTTGGGTATAGAAAAACAATTCCATTGATATTATGAAATTATACAAAATGAAAGAAAATCCCCATCCAAGATGGTTTCATAAAGCTTCTCTAATTGTTTGGATTAGAGCCCATGTTATAGTTGCCAAAAGGTAGGACATTTTTGCACCAGTAATCCCCTCTGAATATGCACATGCTCGATTCACTTGAAAACGACTTTGGCGGTTGACCGACATCTTATGCAAACCAGTAATCAAGTTTTTTTTTTTGTTTGGGGTGGGGGGTTGAGATCTAAGACTTTTGTAGCTTCAGATTTCCTAGGAATAAAACAAATGAAAGTTTGATCTAGTCAGGTATTTAACCAACTATTCTTTAGAAAATCATGGAACATCGTCAAAGCGTCCTCCATAATGATGTTCCACAGCTTTGTGGACAACTTTTCATTGCAAGCTAGACCTTATTAGCTTCAGAAGGATGTTCCATAGCTTGGTAGCACATGGCACCATCTACTACCTTGGAGTTTTTTGGATAAAACAAATTATCTCCACTTTTTGAGAACAACTAAACTTTCACCAATGTTCAACAGAAAATTCAACGTCTAAGGCTTCAGGATGGGGCAAAATCTTGTGTTCAAGTGAAAAGATGATCAAACTTGAAAGGACTTGGTCACCAAGTAAAATCTTATTCAACCCACCTTCTCAAGTTTCCCTATTTTTAGATTGACTTCCGAATTGACGTTCCTTCATTTAGCATAGAAGTATGCCTAAAGATTTGCTTGCTGCTATTTATGATATGTGCCTCATTTCGCAATGTTTCAAAGGTGGATCGAGAGGCTTTTTGGGGACTTCCTTTTAGGAGAGAAGTTCAACTTTCCCTTGATTTGGAAGGGCTTGGAATAAGGGGCTTGATTTTTCATATAATGTGTTCTTTCTGAATGACTTTGCGTATAATTAGTTTATGATTATTATTCTCATCTTAGATCATGATTTCATTAAATTCATCTTATGTCGTATGGACCTTATCGAATTGACATTCCATAGCAATGTTTACTGGATCGATTCGATTGATATACACTCTTTTACGTGGCACATGTAATGGCTAGTTTATTCTTGGTACGAATTTCTCCAACAAAAAGACAAAAACAGAAGTGCCTAGTGTCACAATTAGGCAAGGGTTTCGGCATGTTACGGGCATGCGGCCATGGGCAAAACGCCTTGGACAAGCATGACCGTGACATCTAGTGTCACCTAGCCTATGTGAACATCGGTTCAATTGGATTGATCATCTTGAAATCACTTTCTTAAGCAGCAGGATATTAGTTCAAAAGGATAGAAAATATTATCTTGTTCTTGTATTTCATTCTTCGATACGATCATCTAATGCGGTTCGGTTCGCTTGATGTGATGTAGATGAAAGAAAGAGGAGAGAAGCTTGAGCATTGGAGAATGATGGAAAAGAAGAGAGAAGAGAAGAAGAAAGAAAAGAATGAGGTAATAAGAAGGCAGAGTTCCATGTGGGTTGATGAAAAGAAGTTGGAAGAGAAGCTATTAGACGCCATTGTTAATACCATCCCTCTCTGACTTCCCTTGCCAGTTTTCTTTTTCGACTGATTAGACGCCATTCTGACTCATAATTTCTTGCATCTCCAAGGTTTTGTTCACTTTTACATTATACTCAGTCCTCGTGAAATTGATTTTCCTTGGTTGTTAAGCTCGTATGCTTCGGTAGATGGATATTTCAACTCTTTTATGGTTTGTAGGTTCAAATCTACCCTTCCTTTTTTATTACTATTATTCATATCATGAGGCAAATATATATTATATATCAATTTAAATATTTTACAATTATTCACTTTTTTTTTTTGGCTATCATTTAATCCTTCAAAATTTTAAAGAAAAATTATCACATTCTTTATAAATAAATGATTTAAAAATTACAAAAATTTAGTAAAAATGTCACTAGTATCTCTTATCGGACAAAGATATGGATATGTTCACGATATGAAAACTAGTAGTCTTGCTATGTAGATCAATTCTACTTAGACTAAAGAGAGTGAAGAGCCTTCCATCCATCTTTGGAAATGCGGATGGTAGGAGAGCACTAAGAGCTTTCTATAAAGAAGAACGCATGTCTTATAAAAACTAACCCCTAAACAAGATTTGATTTGTTTTGTAAGTAATTTATACTAATTATTACCTTATCTATAAAGTTATGCATTTAATCAATACATATGTCAGGATGAAATTTAAATTGATACAAAATATCAAAATTAAATATAAATTGTTAGAGAGATCTCTCTATCAAAGATATGTCTTATCTCGTAGTTAAAGAAATCTCTTAATAAGAAAACGGATAGAAACATTAAGCCTAAAGAAAGCTAATATTGTGAGTTTACAACCATCATGTATATTATATAACCATCGAACTTTGGCATGATCCATTGCACACTAAAGAGTTCCAAGTGAATATGTAAAGACCTTTCAAAATTGTGAAACTAAGCCCCAAGGGCATCATCCTTTTGGAAGACAATTCTATTGCAAATGAATGAAAATACTAAACAAAACACATTTCCTATAAGAAGAGTAAAACTGGAGAACTGCTTAATAAAAGAAAAAGAAGAAAGAAAGAACGAAAGAACACAAGTTTACAGCTGCAGAAAAACCCAATCTAAATCAATGACACAGACATTCTGAGTATGATTTACATCCATATGAGAAGGCAAAGAAGGGCCAGGGAGGGGGTAAAAGAATGTCTAATCCTATTGATAGTAACCAGCCAAAAACCAAAAACCAAAAACCCATCATTTCAAGATTAAAAGAATGTCGTTTTTTCCTTCCAAGACACAACCAACCAACCAACCATCCATCGGTCACTGGCTCTTTGGTTTTTGAATCTTCACGTATGGAAACAATCCCCAAAAGTGGACTACTCTCGGGTTCCATTCTAGTTGTTGAGCACGACAAAACATTAAAAATGTATTGGCGAAATAAGAATTGAACCCCATTAATACATGCCATAATGCATGACCCTGTGGGTTTATATACCAGCTAGAGATGTTCTTGCAGTATAAGCGATCAAAAAGCCAGCAAACAGTCCCAAGAGAGATGGTTGTCAAGTATAATTTTGCAAGCCGCTTAGCATGTATGTCGTTCGTGTGAATATAGTACTTGTACATTCTTGGGATGCAGAGGAGACATAGTATTGCATAGTGTACCTTAAAGCCTGCTCCGAAACGGACAATTGCATGAGCAACAGCAAAGGCAGCTCCATATAGAAACAAGAACGTTGGCATCGTGCTTCGGTAGTGCCAATCGGGCGAATAAAGGATGTAGATATAGAGGAGCATTTCCCATACCATAGGTGTTTCATCGCCTTGCTGTTGTCTGAAAATAAGTTTAGAGTTGAATCCAATAGGATATTACAATGGATGAAGATTTCACAGAAAAGCATTCATAAATTTGATAGCATAATGAAGTTATGCATCCAATAGCAATAGTTAACGTTCGTAAGAACATTTATGAATACTTATAATGAAAGAAGATTTGACAGAGCATGCAAGCCAATGCTGAAAACATTCATAAATTTGATAGCATAATGAAGTTATGCATCCACGAGCGATAATTAACGTTCACAAGAACATTTATGAATACTAAGTCGTAGAAATACACCGTAAAAGTTCCAGAAGAAATAATTTTACAGGGCACTCATCATGACATGTACCAGACCTCGGTAGAGGGGGTGTAAAAAGTTACAAAAATATAAAATCAGAGATGAGAGCATGAATTCCAATCAAGAATGAAATGCATAGACAGTTCTAACTTCTTTTTGCAAGGGAGTGTGCGTTAACTAAAATAAGTTCGTAGACGTAAACTGTGAAATCCCACGTTGGTTGGAGAAGATAACAAAACATTCTTTATAAGGGTGTGGAAACTTTTCCCTAGCAAACGCGTTTTAAAAACCTTGAAGAGGAGCCCAAAAGGAAAAGCCCAAAGAGGATCCAAAGTAGTTCGTCCCTTAACTCCACACAACAACGTTTTGTAATTTGATCACTCGTGGAATCTATCTTATATCGACTTTTTTATTCACAACCTATACATACTAAAATTAACATTTCAACTCAAGCAATTAATACAAAATTCCAAGCGAAAAAATAGGACGGTCACATAATCATCTTCATTCTTTATTCTTCAATATAAAGGAAGAAGACTTACACTCGTTGAAGGGTAGCATGATACAGCATGCTTCCAATGGAAAGGATCATATTTGATATGTGAAGAACACTAAACCTCTTCTCAAACCTTTGTCTCAAGGCATTTACGAGACCAATAAGTGCTAAAATGAGGCATGGAATATTTGATATCGTGTTGAAGAATTCGGCAATGTAAGAAGAGTAGACATAGTTGCTTTCACACCACTCAGGAGATGTAACAGGACCCCAGAAACTAGATATTGTATCTGCCATTCGAAAATTAAGTATGCCTGAAGATAATCGAATTGCCTGGTAGGATCGTTCAAATTTTACAAACCTGCAATCATATTTTTCAATAAGTCAGTGCATAAAACAACACACATACAAGTCAAAGCAGAATTTACTTCCATTTTTAACCCAAGAACATCTGAAGGAAATATGTATTTGATGAGGAAACTTGTCTGAATTGCTGTAGATTCTTAAGACTAGAGGATCGATTGACCAATTTCATTAAGGAAAACAACCGGCAGATGTGTAAGGCCTACAGAGAAAAATTTTCCACCTTCCTAAGCTCCTAAGTCAAGTTAAGACGCCATAAACGACAGTACCAAAATTACTATCTCCATATTTTGTACTTTGCTTGCAATAACAGAAACCGCCAAACCTAGAATCGGACTAAGCTAAGAAGACGTAATTGTAACCTTCATACATCATCTCTTCAATTCTTTGCCGTGCATATAAGAGACGTCAGTAGTAAACTAACTCGAACACAACGACGCTAAGAACCATAACCAACGTTTTCTGATGCAAATTTAGAAACAAAATATCCACGCTGGCCCTAACAGTTCTACAAACTTTTTCCATTTCTTTCATTTTTCCATCATGACTTGAATTCCTCAAGAAATTCAAGAAACAGGCAATGGTTCGAATCTCCATACACAACAATCACGGAGCAATAGAACTAAACATGTAAAGAAGAATCAAGAAATGAAAACCAAGAACTTCGAAACTGAGGAAGAACAAGAAGATTGAAGAAACTACTGACCGTTCCGAAATAGATCTAAGCTAGAGAATAACCATTCTTGGATTCTTGAAATTCAAATTCCTGAGGTCTTTCTGTCGGTATTGCGAAGCGATCGGAAGAGATCTAAGCTGAGAGTCCGAACCAATTAGGGATTACCCAGAAGGAGGACGACGAGCGCGTGGTGAGGATATAATGGAAGATGACGGAAATCATTTGTTACCGTCGGATTAAATAAGCCGACGGTTGATATTGCTCCGGTCATCGAGCTTTGGCGCGCCTCGTGATTAATGGAATCAGAATCCGACTTTGAAGCGCTTTACATCCGCGTGTGATTCACGCGCTCATGTGCTTTCGAGCTCGTCACGCTCCCCGCTTATTTATTTATTTTGTAAGATTACGCTTAAAATGTTTCTTAATGTGAATTTAAGAATATTTGAACGTATATAAATTATTTAAAAAAAAACATAACAAATTATTGATTATTATATTATTCAATATATTTATTAATTATTATATTGAGATGTAACTGTCTAAATAGATCTTCAACCAATGAACTAGATTTTGCACTTTAATTTGTAATATAATTACAAGAGATTTGATCATGTCATAATGTATTTTTCTAAAAAATATATCAAAACAATAAAATCAAATTTCTAAATTTAAAGATATTTTTTAAATAAAATATAAAATATTTTCAAATGATATTTTCTATTTGTTAAAAATTAAGAGAATTATTTATTTATTTTATAAATTTAGGAGTATTATTAAAAAAAATGAAAGTTAAAGAATATTTAGTATTTTTTTTTTAGAAATTAAGAGTTATTTTTATTAATTAGCGTTTCATTTTTCTATTATTACACTATCATTTATTTTTTAAAATAAATTAAATGAATTTGAAATTAAAAGTTTAGATAAAATCTAATTTATTTATTTATTTAGTCGCGTGGTGGCGCCAAAACCCTCGAGGGAAGCATAGACTCTCAAGCAAAGACCACAGCCATGGGGGAAGCCGACGGTATCCATGGCGATGGCGATGTTTTCTAGTGGTATGCCGAGTGGCCTGAGCTCAGCCAGTCTCTCTGAGTAGCTCTAGACGCCGGCTTTCGATGCACCCCAACATTGATTTATCTAAAGCTGTAATATCCGATATGCTGCGCCGGAACGCGAGGGAACGCCCTGATATGCGGTGGCGCTTCATGAATATGACGAACATGTAGGTAACCGAGATCTTGGAGATGAATTTGATTCTTGAAATGTCGTGTTGGTGTGTGTGTTATTGTAGGACGTTGTTAGCTATACATTACACGATAATTTTGTGCGGGATTGATTTTTAGAGCGATTATGAATGAAATACATCTAGTTTAGGAACTGTTAGGCGTCGACATTCCTAAAATTGTAGCTCGTTAGATACGTACTCTGCTAAAATGAATCAAGAGCAAGTTTAGAAACTCACTGCTTCACTTTTCCTTAATTGCTCTAGCTCGTTAGACACGGGCTCTGCCCAAATGAAATAACGGGACAAGTTGTTTTTGTTACCCTCTCCAATTGATATGGGATCTCATAGTCCATCTCCTTCAAGGCCCAGCGTCCTTGCTGACACTTGTTTTCCTCTCCAATCGATGTGGGATTGACATTCGTTCCACTCTTCAACCAATGTGGGATCTCACAATCCACCTTTTTTTAGGGCCAGTGTCCTCACTAGCTCTCATTTCTCCTCTTCCATCGACGCGGGATCTCACATGCGATCGCATTTTATAGTGCCTTATGGAGACATGTAAAGCTTTAAATTTATTCTAGTTCTAAGGAATTAGGTTCCTTATTGAGAAATTTGTTGTGCTGCTGAACTTCGTTTAACCTGTTCATCAAAATGAGTTTGGGACATAATGGTGAGTAAATTTTGAAGAAACCTTAGAACTTCAGGCTTATTGTTTGTGGTCTACTTCTTCATTTTAGTTGTTTAATGGATGATTGAAATGTCCTCTGGTTGTTCATTCTTTTTAGATATCTGTTCTCTTCAGAAGAAGGCGGGTGGATGATTGTTGAAAGCTCAAAACCCGCTCGGCTATTATAATGGTATTTGTTTATTGAACATTGGAACTCTGTGCATACATTTCTATCTTAGTATCCATTACAGATATCTCCGATTCGCTCTAGGTTCAATTAGATGAGACACAATCTGGTGCCAACATGGATGCTATTATCCAGGTACTATTTGCTTTGCCTTTGATTTTACCGTTTATGTATGACCTGATTTTACCGTCTAGTTAAAGTTTACATGTCACTATACACATAATGACGGTTTTAGATCCTCTAGATTTCTGAAATATTGTGATTCAGAAAAATGTTGTTGGTTTGGAAATTTGATGAGAAATGTCATTTTGTATAAAGTGCAATACCTTATTTAACTGCTCCTGTTTGAAAGCTACTAGTGGAATGTGTCACCATCACACTCTTATAGGATGTTTGTAGGCGATTGTGCGGCACTCACTCTCACCATCGAGTGAGTCAGCCAACTAGAAATCTTGTTGCCTTTGGCCTGACGACGTATACCCAAGCTTCTGGCCCTGCTTTTTAAGAAGAAGGTTTTAGAAAACGGGGTAGAGATATTTTAGAAAAAGAGTTTGAAAGCAAGATGGAGAGAAAGGAAGAAAGTAATGTCATAGGGTATAAGTGAAAAAGGTAATACAATGGGTTAGATAGCATATAACTCCGAGTAGGAAAAATTAAGAACTAGTCTCATTCCCTATAGTCTATTCGGATGCATTTTAGGTCTATCAAGGGTAGATATGATTCTGTTAAAACATCATACATTTAGAAAATACAATAGGAAAACTGTACATCATGAAAGCGGTAAGGAAGGCAATAAAGTGATGCAAAACAAGGATTTTGACATGCAACGGGCATGCGGCCATGAACAACACGCTTTAGACAAGCATGTCCGTGATACAATGCACTTGCAACTCATTAATATCATAAGTAAACTATATTAGGTTTATAATCATACTCGTAACATTGTGAGATCCCACATCGGTTAGAGATACGGAACATTTTTTTATAAGAGTAAAGAACCTCTCTCTAATAGATGTGTTTTAAAATCATAAGGTTAATACGTAAAAGGTTTAAATCGTCAGCAATCATTTAAATTGCTATGGCTAAGTTTTGATGGGATTTTTGAGCGAACTAATTTTTATAAATTTTAAAGTAATTTAGAAATAGGAAAAAGGTATTATTTCTTGAACCACATATTTTATTTTCTTTTTAAAAAAACGCGCAATGCTTTGTGCCACTATAAATAATAGCTGCCGGCCGGTTGATCTCTTCGACTCGGGCGATCCCTCTTCATTGTTCCCTTCGACTCGGCCAAACCCTAACGATATCTCAGCCATGTCGTCCAAACAAGGTACGATCTATTGAGCGTTCTTTTCCGATTTCATCTTGGATTCGGTAGTCTCATCGATTGCGTTGTATGTCTTTACAGGAGGGAAAGCAAAGCCTCTGAAGCAACCCAAGGTCGAGAAGAAAGATTACGACGAGGTACTCTTTGGATTTTTTTTTTGTTTTTTTTTTTTTTTTCCTTAATGGATCTATGCCGCAAATCTATGTTCTTCCTGGTTCTGTTTATTTTTTATACAATTTTTTGGATCGAAGAATTTCAATCTGCCTGATCAAGTTTTGAAGGCTGTAAAAGAGAATAGAAGTTATTTTTCATTAACGTGCGCCTGATTTTTGGTTTTGGTGTAGTTTTTTTGTGCCTTTTTTCTTGTTATTATTTTTAATTGCAAGAATCATTATTGTCCATTCTATTCAACGGGGAGGGAAGTCCGAGCTACAATTATTATTAATCGATGCCCTCTCCTGAACTGTCTATCCCATTCATTGGTCATTTTTAATTAATGATCGATCCCTTCACGAGGGAAAAATGGAGGGAACTGCAACTGTCTCTATCTTAATCGTTGTGGAGAAACTCTTATTCTCAAAACTGAACTTTGAATTTTTCTGCGTTTTCTCAACAGGTTGATATGGCAAATATCCAGAAGAAGAAGGACGAGGAAAAGGTTAGAACTTGAACTTTGAAGTTGAAATCGGCTCTTTTTAAAAGAAAAAGTTGAAAACAGCTGATTTTTTGATACTTCTGTTCGTTTTGGTTCCCTCATTTTCGTTTTTATTTCATTAGTACCGATTCATTCACTAAATTTCTTGAAATATAATATAACCATAAACTTGCATTGAAGGTTTTGAATTGTGTGTAAAATTTATGTTACAGGCGCTCAGGGAGCTTAGAGCGAAGGCCCAACAGAAGGGAGCGTTTGGAGGAGCTGGGCTGAAGAAGAGCGGGAAGAAATGATGAGGGTTCCCACGCAATGCATGTACATACACATTATTACTTCACGACCTGAAATTGCAAACATCTAATGGCTCCTGTTTAATCAATTGAGTGTCTTTCTGTTCTGTGTAAAAGCCTGGGAAGAAGATGATCAATGCTCTTCTCCTGGTTTCTTTATTTCTTGGAATGGAATGGTTTATAGATGCTGAATGCATTTCAATATTCTAAATTTAAACTATCTTTACACCTAAAGCTAAATGGTATGAATTGTTTGGCATTTGCTTGGTATGTTTTTGAGTTTTTGGGATAATTTTCAGTTTTATTTTTTTACATATGCTTATTTTGGTGGATAAAATTCTCATAGTTCAATTAATATTTAAAACTTAATTAGAATATATATTTTTAACAAGTTTTAAATTATTTTTAAGAGTTGTGAGTATAAATAATAATAATAATAATAATAATAATAATAATAATAATAATAATATGAAATTAAATACAAATAAAACTAATATATGTTTGTCTCTTTCAAATACAACATGATTAAGCAGCAACACTGCAACCTACCACTTTTATGATCACTCAATAAAAGCTATCTCAAAAAACTCAACTTGTAAATATTAAATAAAATAAAAGAAAAATATAGAATAACTTGATTATGAATTTATTTAGATTTTGTTGAATTAAAATAAATAAATGGTTTATAGTTTCATAAAACATGATTTTACATATTTTACACGTTAATTTTATACCACGTGAAAATATAAAATCTATAACCAGAATGTTGATAAAGTTTATTATTTATTTAAAAAAATCAAACCTAAATTTAAAATTATTAAAAATATAATAAAACTCAAATTTAAATTTTTATGATTTGATAAATTTATCAAACTAATTATATTTTAATATTTATTAAGTGAGAGTGTGAAGTTTGCACTATTAATGGGCCGACAGACGGGTCGCTGTCGATGATTTTAATCATCCAGTTGTCAAGTTCGTCGTCTCCATCCCTCATCATTTTTTCCATTTCTCGATATTTTCTTTTGCTTTTCTTTATCCAAAGGTTCAGAGAAACAGTGAAAAGGATACAAAAATCTTTCACCTCAATGTGGAGTGAAAAATGTTGTTTTCAAATCATTTTCTTCTTCTCCCCAAATTAATTTATTTCAGTTCGCCAAACTTCTCCGTTCAAAACGGAAATGATTATTTGCAGATCTGTCTTGCAATTGTAATTGCAACTTTATCCGATTTCCAAAGCGTTTTCACATTAATTCTCTGGATTATGCTTCTGGTCCTACTTCGAGTCCAATAATGTCGCTAGAGCAGGTCAATAATTTAATGGAAGTTTGCTTTTCTTTAGTTTATTGGTTTATTGTTCATCATATTTCGATTTTCGTTTGTTTTAACTTTTTCGGTGCAGGTGGAACTTCGAAGAAGTTAAAATAGGATGCTCGATTTCGTTTGAGAGTGTACGGTTTTGGAAGTTAATCCTTGTGGAACTTCGAATGGCTGTGAGTTTTCGAAACTTCTCTGTTCTTCGTTTTCTTCTTCCTTTCTTTCTCTTTTTTTTTTTTTTTTTTTTTTTTTTTTTTTTTTTTTTTTTTTTTTTTTT